GCAGCACCCGAAGAGTGGTCATCTTTGGGGTAGGGGAGAAGGTCTGGAAGAAGTCAAATCCCTGTCGCTGACTGAAGCCTCGTGCAACGTAACGAGCATTGAAGACAGGCGGAGAACCCGGCGGCCGCTTCACCCTGAAAATCCGCATGCCATCGATTATGTTCGCCCAAGGAGGGGGAACTGCGTCGACGTAGGTGCCTGTGGACTTCCAGGATGCCATCTCTGCGTCCATGGTTGTCTGACACTGAGAGGAGTACTCACCCGCGATCGCCTCAGCGTAAGAGTGCTGGGTCGGGATGTCTGGTGCATCTGGGTCTCCCTCAGGGGCAAGCTGCATGGCCAGGAGATGAGGTGCAGCGGCTGCAAGACACTCAAAGTCCTCCTGCCAGTCCTCAAGGATGTGCGTGCTAAGAGCTCACTAACCCCCGACGGATGGAGGACAGACAGAGCCAGACTCAGCAACAAGACTAGCGGCGTAGTCGAGACGACAAGCAGCAGCAAAGTCAACAAGCTCAACGACTAAGGCAGACGCAGCTGCAGACTCAAACGAAGGGTCAGTGACAGAAGTGGCTAAGAGTCGCGTAACAGTAGGACTGGCAGCACGAACCAGGTCAGACTTAGGGTCCGGAACGTGCGGAAGAGAGGACGCACGAGGAGAGGGCAGAGGAACACGCTATGGAACAGAGGAAGGACGAAGTGCCATAGTGTGTGTGCCAGGGACAGGAAGTGGACGCTCACGAGGAACACGACGACTAGTGCGACCAGTGCGAACAAGCGAGGCAGGACGAGACGCAGGCTCACGACGCTCAGTAAAACCTCCTGTCTGCTCAGTGTAAGGAGAGGGAGCAGGCAGTGGGGAGCCTGGCTGTAACGGGAGACCAGTAGAAGACGGGAGACTAAGAACCTGGCAAAGCACCGAGCCAGGCGGCGGCAGAGACGACAGTGACGGCGGAGCGAAGAACAGACGCGGCGGTGCAGCACCCCCAGTACCAGCTCCTCCAGTACCAGCACCTCCAGTACTAGTACCAGCAGCGTCAGGGTCTAGAGCAGCTCCAGAAACTCCAGCTCCAGCACCTCCAGCTCCAGCACCTCCAGCTCCCGGGTTACCAGCTCCAGCGCCTACAGCTCCGGGGCCTCCAGCTCCCGCGTCCACAGCACCACCAGCTCCGGCCGCTCCAGTACCTCCAGCTCCCGCGCCTCCAGCCGCAGCGCCTCCAGCCCAGCAGTGCCACTCCGAAGGCGGCAGTGCTAAGTGTACCACTCGAGCAGCTGCTGCGGCGAGAGAGCACCTCCAGAACCTCCAGGACGAGCACCTCTAGGACTAGCAGTGCCAGCTCCACCAGCACCACCAATACCGACAGTACCACCAGCTCCGGCAGCTCCAGTACCTCCAGTACGAGCACCTCCGGGACCAGCAGTTCCAGCACCTCCAGCAGCAGCAGCACCACCACCAGCTCCAGCAGCTCCAGTAACTCCAGTACAAGGACCTCCGGGACTAGCAGCTCCAGCACCTCGAGCAGCAGCACCACCACCAGCTCCAGCAGCTCCAGAAACTCCACTACCTCCAGCACCTCCAGTACTAGCAGCACCACCAGCTCCGGCAGCTCCAACGCCACCAGCACGAGCACCCCTGGGACAAGCAATGCCAGCACCACCAGCACCTCCAGCACTAGCAGCTCCAGGGCCTCCAGCTCCAGCAGCGCCACTCCGAAGGCTACAGCGCCGAGCGTACCACTCGCGCAACTGCTGTGGTGAGAGAGGCTCCCGCCGGCTAGACCGCTGGGGCGAGGCACCAGTGGGACCTCCAGGACTAGTAACTCCACCACCTCCAGTACCAGCAGTACCTCCAGCACCTCCAGGACCAGCAGCTCCAGGGCCTCCAGCTCCAGCAGCGCCACTCCGAAGACTACAGCGCCGAGCGTAGTACTCGCGCAACTGCTGTGGTGAGAGAGGCTCCCGTAGTATAGATGCAGGAACCCTAGGCTCAGCACCCCCAGACTCAGCACCCCCAGGCTTCGCACGCTCAGGCTCAGCACCCCAGGCTCCGCACACTCAGACGCAGCACCCCTGGGCTCCGCACTCGCAGACTCAGCACCTCCAGGCTCCTCACGCTCAGGCTCCGCAACCGCAGGCTCAGCACCCCCAGGCTCCTCGCGCACAGGCTCAGCACCCCCACGCTCCGCACACTCAGGCTCAGCACCCGCAGGCTCAGCACCCCCAGCAGCACCAGAGTCACCAATGACCTCGACAGGCTCAACCAAGGGGAGTGGGTCTACCTGAGACACACCTGAAGGAGCAGGACCCTGAGGGGGGAGGGGGTCTACCAGAGGGGGACCTGGAGCAAGGAAGAGCGGGGAGGGGGAGGGGCAGTGCGGTAGAAGAAGAGACGATAAAAGGGAACCGACTCGTCAAACGTGACGTCCTGAGAGGACAGAACACGGCGCGAGGTGGGGTGGTAAAACTGCCAGCCAAGCAGCTCTAGCCAGCGGGGGAGCTCAGCCTCGTCGCCAAACACTGCACGCCAGGCGTCGCTCAGACAGGCGAAGCAGCGAGCCTGTGTATGACCAAGTGTCCCGCAAGTCTGACCAGCCCGAGCACCTGTGCGAATGACGTACGGACAGCTGACAGTACTCCAAGTCCCCCCACTCTGAGCGTACCACTCACGAAGCTGCTGGGGCGTAAGGGTCTCGCGCGAACGCCGCTGCTGCTGCATCTGGCCACCGCCAGAAACTCCGCACTGATCAGCTCCACCACGACTGCTACTACGACCGCCGCCACCACACCTACTGGCGTACCACTCACGAAGCTGCTGGGGCGTAAGGGTCTTGCGCGGACGCCGCAGCAACTGCTTTTGGCCATCGCCAGAAACTCCGCACCGAACAGCTCCACCGCGACTGCCACGACGGCCGCCGCCACCACTCCAGCTGCTGTCACCACCGACGTCACCGCGCCGACCACTACCACGAAGAGAAGTCAAAGCGGGTCAAGTAAGGAGGCGTGCGACCAGTAGGGCAATACGGAGGGAAGGCAATAGCACGAGCAGCAGCAGCAGCAGTAAGAGCAGCAGAGCGGCTCGGTGAGGCTAGGCTGCAGCACCTCCAGCACTCCTAGCAGCACCTCCACCAGCAGCAGCAGTAGCACGAGCAGCATGGTGGATCGGGTTGGGCATGGCGGCTCGGGCTGGGCGGCGGGGGCAGCAGGGCGCGGCGCGTGGGCTGCACCAGGGCGCGACGCACGGGGCAGCATGGCGCGACGCGCGAGCTGCAGCAGAGCGCGACGCGTGGGGCTGCAGAGCGGGACGCGCGGGCTGCCGTAGGGCGCGACGTGCAGGGCAGCAGTGCGCGACGCACGGGCTGCAGCAGAGCGCCACGCGCGGGCTACCGTAGGGTGCGAGGGCAGCAGGGTGGACGTGCGGGCTGCAACAGGGCGAGACGCGCAGGGCAGCAGAGCGCGACGTGCGGGCTGCCGTAGGGCGCGACGCACAGGGCAGTAGGGCGCGACGCGCAGGGCAGCAGGGCGCGGGCTGCAGCAGGACGCGGGGCAGGGCAGGGCGTGCGCGGGGCAGCGCGACGCGGGACAGGGCAGAGCGTGCGCGGGGTAGAGCAACGCGGGGCAGGGCAGGGCGTGCGCGGGGCAGCGCGACGCGGGGCAGGGCAGGGCGTGCGCGGGGCAGCGCGACGCAAGGCAGGGCAGGGCGTGTGCGAGGCAGCGCGACGCAAGGCAGGGCAGGGCAGGGCGCGTGCTGACGGCGCAGCGCAGGGCAGGGCGTGGGGTAACGCGGTAACCGCAATCGGTCACTAGGTAATGGTGGGTCCGGAAAAAAAAAAACGGTCCTACAGACCTACTGCTCTGAAACCATGTCAGAATCTAATGAGCAGGAATGATTGCATTGACATCAAACTGAGTACAAGTATAACCCTAATAAAGTTGTACCCCATATAGGCTACCCCATTACAGCATACACAACGTAAGAGGCATTATAGTTTGACTGCGAGTCCTAAGAAATCAGGAATACATAAAATGTAAGACTGAACATTCAGTATTAGGTGTATATGCACACTGAGGAATCAGGACAATTGTATACCTGTAACACTGAACAATACCATAGAAATGCCTTATAAGCAGAAGAAAACCCCCCATCCCATTTCTAGGCCCACCAGGCACGGCTCAAGCAGGATTCTTACTCGTTACCTGAACCGTGACAGCTTCTCGGTTCGAACAACTAGGCCACAGCCGAGCTGCCTGGAAAGATTTAGTCGTGCATATGTACTTTGCATGCAATCTATAATATAACCATGAAAAATCAGGGTAAACTCACATCCAGCGCTGAAGCCTCTGGATATTTTTTTTTATTATTATTTTAGGGTACAGTAATAATGAGTCAGGGTGAAGTCGGTGATTCAGCAGAACGAGGGGCTCACGCAGCCCTTTGTGGTGCGCAACCTGGCGCTCACCTACGCCCTCACTGTGGCCGTGGTGATGCTGCTGTCCCTGGGCGGGCAGCTGGCGGTGCACTTCGCCATCCAGAACAGCAAGAGCGACGCGCTCGTGGTGAACGTGGCGGGGCGGCAGCGCATGCTGAGTCAGCTCATCTCCAAGGACAGCCTGGAGATTTATGTCCTCCGCACCGACAACCGCAGCGTGGCGTATTTTGTGGGCGAGCTGAGCGAGCGCGCGGCGCTGTGGAACAAGTCGCACTACGGGCTGTGGCACGGCAGCCAGGAGCTCAACCTGCCCGGCACGGGCAACGGCGCCATTGTGGCGAAGATTGAGGAGCTCACGCCCGCTTTCCTGGCCATGTTCTGGAGCGCACGGAGCATCGTGGATCTCAACCCCGACAACGTCACGTGCCCCTCCGAACGCTGCGAATAAGACCCTGTTCATTGCCTGTGCATCCTGAAATCATAACATGCCCCTACCAGCCGTGCTGATGCTTGTGTCATCTCTTTCTTGTTGTGCTGCTGTGCTGTTGTTGTGTGTGCGTGGTGACGCCATGGCAGGCAGCTGAAGAAGCATGTGGACACGATAATGGAGAACGAGGCCTTCTTCTGGAAGACGCAGGATGGCATAGTGCTCATGTACCAGGGGGACGCCGACACGCACACCAACACCATCCTCATCCTCTCCTGGGTGCTCCACATGCTCGTCATCCTTACCCTCATTCTCGAGGGTGTTTTCGTGTTCCGCCCCGTCCTGCGCCACATGCAGTCGCTCATCAACGAGCGCTTCGCCCTCCTCCAGCGCAGCCTCGTGTGAGTCTTGGGTTGAGAGCGGTGCACAGCGGTGCAGCCTCGTGTGAGTTCCTCTTGTGATTGGCAGTTGTGTTGCCTCATGTGGATGTCTCTCTGCTGACTTCCACTCTTGCTCTCTTCACCCTCCTCCCTCCCTCCCTCCGTCTCTCCTCCTCGTGCTACCAATCAGGTCGGAGGCGGAGAACAGGGGGGTGTCGGTGCTCATGATGGGGTACATCAGCCACGAGCTGCAGCACCCCCTCGCCTCGCTCTCGCTGCACCTCCACCACGCCGCCGCCGCCATCGCGCGCCTTGCCCTGCTGCACCCCAAGCCCCCCACCCCCTCTGCCGCCCTCTCCCCCGCCCTCCTCACTCCTGACGCTGCCCTGGGCGGAAGCGGGTTCGACGGGGGAGTGGGGGGGACGGAGGGGGGAGGGTGGGGGGGAGGAGGGGACAAGGAGGAGGAGGCGGGGGCAGGGGCGGCGGAGGCGGTGGGGAAGGCGCGGGTGTGTGGCGAGCTGATGAGCACGGTGGTGGGCGACGTGGCCAACCTGCGCAACATTGAGCTCGGCCGCATGATGCTGGCTGTGGAGCTCGTTGACGTCCAAGACCTCGTGCAGCAGGTGTGTGGGGGGGTGCTGGGCGGTGCTGATTGGTGCTGAGTGCAGCAGGTGGGGGTTGCAGCAGGTGAGGGGGTGCTGTGCGGCGCTGAGTGCAGCAGGTCACTGGGGGATGAAGCAGGTGTGTGGGGTCTCATGCTGGAGGGGTGCTGCTAAGAGGTGCTGCTGGTGAGCCGCCGGTTTTTGCTAAGCCTCCGATTTGCAGGCCACTCTCCTACCCCTTTCTCCTCCGCCTGCCTCCAAACGCTCCCTCTCTCTTCCCTCCGCCTACCCCATTCACGAGGCACTGCGCATGCCAGCGCCCAGAGCCCAGGGAGGACGGTCACAGAGAGGGCACCTCTGCAAAATGATGGTTCGATTTCTTCTCACTCCCCGCTTCCCTCTCCCTCCCCTCCCGTCCCCCTCTTCCCCCATTCTTCCCCTGCTCCCCCGATGCGTGCACGCAGGTGCTGAGTGTGGTGGCGCCGAGGGTTCCGGAGGGCGTGCAGCTGCGGGTGGACGTGGATCCGAGCATTGAGGCGCGCCAACTCGACAAGCACCGCCTGCAGCAGGTGGGGGTTGGGAATGAGGGGGGGGAGAGAGTCGTTGTTCGCTTGGTGGTGGGGAAAGGCTAAAATTGGGAAGGTGGGAAGCCAGGGCGTGCAAGTTCAGGAGTGAGTGCAGCGGCTCTTGGCATGTGGCCATGGTGCAGACTGCACAGCTGCTGTCTTCCGCCCCTGCCCGTGCCACTCTCTTTCCCTGCCGTTGCCACTCCCCTGCTCTTTCCACTGTCTTGGCTACGAAAGGAGGAGAGGGGCCCTCCTGTGCTGCCCCCCCCACTCCCTTCCCTTACTCCGTAGCCCTCACACTCGCTCTCCCCCACTCCTCGCTTCCCTCCCCACAGGTGCTGCTGAACCTGGTGGACAACGCGTTCCGCCGCACGAGTGAGGGCGTGGTGGTGGTACGCGTGAAGGAGGGCGCAGCCGCCCACCTGCTGCGGGTGGAGGTGCAGGACTCGGGCGAGGGGCTGAGCGAGGAGGAGCGAGCGCGCATGCTGGAGCCCGTCATGGACTCCAGCGGCGTCACCGAGGGCGAGGGGGCCGGCCTGGCGCTCTATGTGGTCAAGCTGCTTGTCGACCTGCAGGTGCGTTGGTCCCGGTGCAAGTGTGATGAAGGTTATACTTCAACGTTTTGCCGAGGTCCTTCCTTGGTCTCCTTGTGTTGGTCTCACATTTCCTCCCTGGTGCGCTGTGCAGGGCGGCACGTTTGGCATGGAGAGCGAGTCGGGCGGCGACAATCTGCACTGGGTGGAGCTGCCAGCTGCCTCTGCCGGTCCGCTGCCGCCCACTGGGGTGACCCACGACCGCCCCGCCATCACATAGCCATGGCCCATGGTGCTGTGTAACCACCATTGCGTCTCTTTACCGCTCGTGTGCCAACCCAAGCCCTATCGACTCCGGGCTCCTGTATTTATGGGCAGGCCTGGCATGCCGTACCACTATTATTGTATGGTACAGTACAAGTCAGCCTCATACCTAAAGGATTTGAGTGATTTCTCCCGTAGTCAGCAGAGGTTATAATTTCTGGCACATCAAGGTATCATATGGAGGTTCTTGCTAGCAAGAAGGTAATTTTATGTACAGCCCTCTGTTTTTTAGATGATGGGATTGTTACAAATGCAAGTGGATGAACAAATGGAGATTGCACTATTAGGGTAAAGGTATGGTATGAGCAAACATTGAAGTAATGACTACCCAGTTTTATTTGGTTACCGTACTGGGATTTGTCGACATACCATACACATATACCGGTATGTGCATGCATCCTTAGTAGGCTAGGTTGGCTCGCGCAATAGAGGGTACATGTCCCGTCCAGCTTGCTTGATATCCCACAGTGGCGGAACGCGTCAATGATGACCTGCTTGGGGACTTGATCCCACGCCTCCGCAATCCAATGCAGCACCACATGGTGCGGAGGCCTTCGCAGGTTCCCTGCGGGTGGGACAGAGGCAGGGACAGCGTGCCGAGAGACATGGAGTAACATGGCTGTTTTTTTTTTATTAACTTTACTCACCCTTCTTCGTCTTCAGGTGAATCCCTTCACGCATGAACCACCTGGCGCAGCGTGCGCGCACCGCGGCCTTGAACCACCAGTCGATGGAGACGTACAGGGGTTGAATCTGGCTCGTGCAACCAGCAGGGATTACTGCAGGGGTGATGCTATGCGTACGGTAGGCTTGAAGCATGCCCTGCGTGATGTGGCCTTGGTAGGAGTCCAACACCAGCATCGCACGCCTCGCGTTCTGGCCGCGCTGAGGGCAGCACCTCCTTGGTCAGCCAGGTCTGCACAGCGCTCTCGTCCATCCACCCGTTATCTTGTGCTTGGACCACGATTCCTGCCAGGCACAGAGGGGAGAGAGGGGGGTCAGCCAAGAAGGGCAAGCTCTACACTCTTGGAAAGCAGAATGTGAGTAGCTTACCGTCCGGAATCTCACACTTCGGCACGTTCTTCAGCTTGAACCAAACCCACGGGCGCAGCTTCTCCCCAAATGCGGTGCACGTGAGCATCACCGTCAGCCGTGTCTTCTCGTATCTTGCCGTGCGGATTGAGACCGAGCGCGCGCCACAGTGCTCAATCGTCCTCTCGGCCGGCATCTCAACAAAGAGAGGCATCTGGTCCACGTTGATGATGCGGGCCGGGTCGATGTTGTCCCGCGCCCTGTTGATGCGCACAAACTTCCAAAACGCCTCGCAGTCCTTAGCGAACTCTGCTCAAGAAGAACACCGCACAGCAGGAGGGGATGGGTAGAAACATGAAAGGTGATTAGAGTGCTAGGCACATACAATCAAGAATCGGGAATGTATTCAATCCCTTAACCACTCACCAGCTGATAACCGTTGACTGACGTTGGTCTTCACATGCATGACCAAGTTTGAGCGGTCACTAAAACGTTGGCTCCAGTGTGAGCTCGCGTTCCAGTCCTTCCCGGGGTGGTGTTTCTTCATCCACTCGCGGCTCCACTTCTGAGTGTCTTCCACCATGATCGCCACCCCATTCGTGCGCTGCAGGCATATGTAGCGGTACAACGCCGCCTCCATGTCGGGGTAGTGTGAGTGGCAGCCCGCCCCGTGCATCCGCTTGCGGCAGTTTGGCGCTTTCTGGTAAAGGCCCGCTGCAGCCTCCGCGCTCCAGCGTCTGATGCAGGGGATGGAAGCGGTGCATTCCGCGGAGGTCTTCTTAAGGGAGCCGAGTTCGTGGTAGCGGCGCGCCCACTTAAGCTTCTCGCGTACGGTCCATCCGCGCCTCGTCCTTTTAAGGCGAAGGGGAAGGGGCTGCGAGGGGAAGGGGGACGGGAGTTGGGATTACGGAGGGTGGGGTCTTTCGGCTTCACCTTCTCAGGGAATGAAGGAATGGGGCCTGCAGCCTCCGCATAGTCATCGTCGCTGGCGAGCGCCTCGTTGACCACGATGTCGTCCTTGTTTGTCTTCTTCTTCTTCTTCTTCTTCTTCTTCTTCTTCTTCTTCTTCTTCTTCTTCTTCTTCTTCTTCTTCTTCTTCTTCTTCTTCTTCTTCTTCTTCTTCTTCTTCTTCTTCTTCTTCTTCTTAGCAGCACCCGTGCTGTAACCCGGGTCGCCGTCATTCTTCCGCTTCTTGTTGCTTGTGCGGCGACAAACGGTGGCCTTAGCAGGATTTTCCCCTTGCCTGCAGTAGTGAGGTGCGGTTGACGCTCCACCCCCGAACTGTCGTCATCGGAGAGCACCACATGGGCACGCTTCTACTTGGTTTGTGGGCGATGACGGAGCCTCCGCTTCAGCAGAGGAACATCGTCGTCCGCCGTGATGCGCCACGGGTCGTCTTCGGAATCTTCACCGTCGAAGAAGACCGCATCAGCACCTCCTTTCGCAGCATCCGCATCCGCCTCCGCCTCCGCATCCGCATCCGCATTTGCGACCACATCCGCGGCCGCAACCGCATCCGCATCCACTTCCGCCTCCGCTTCCGTCCTCGCCTCCGCTTCGGCTTTGTCGTCTGCATCCGCATCCACCGTCGCTCCCGCAGGCACATCTTCCGCCGTCGCCGCCGCAGGGGCTTGCACCGTTGCATGCGCCGCTGCCTCAGCGTGCTCACGATCAGCATCCGCACCTCCGTCGTTGTCAGAGTCACCAGCCCACCACTCTTCCACTTCGTCGTCAGAGCAAACCGACCGATTCCACCATTCGTCGTCGTCGATGTCCCCAACAGGTATTTCATTCCCCGACGCGCTGTCGTCGTGGCCGATCTCCGGCCAATCCTCCTCGCCGTCGCCGCCGTGTTCGTCTTCGCCGTCGTCCTCGTCACAGCTCGCACCTGAGGCGGCGATAGAGCATCCCGCCTTGCGTGTATCCTTCGCCATAGCTACATGGATGTCATCACCGGTGTTGTGTGATGCAATCATATGCATTCACGTCTGTCTGCCTCCCATCTTACCTTTCTACCTTGCATGCGTGGTGTGCGCGTGCGTAAGAATTTGTGTTTGGTGTGGTTTGGATGTTGTGAGTATGTGTGAGTGTTATTTTGTTTGAGAAGATGTCTGAAATGACTTCTCTGTTCAAGGGCTTTCCGACGAACCAAGAATCGTCGCTATCGGAGCAAGAACGAGAAAGATATGATCGTTCGAAGTTTTGATTGTGATGTGACGACTATGGGAATTTGCGGAGTGTCTCAATATGGAGTATAGACTTCTGGGGGTTGGAAAATTCGTCACTTCTACTGTAGTTGCAGTCAAATGGTTGGGAGAAGCCAAACCAAGTTGGCAAGTGCGGCCAAGTTGGGTGAGGTAGATTTGAGAGGTTGGAAAAAAAACAAGGGTGAAAGTTGGGTTCTTATAACGGAAGGAATCTTGTGAGCATATGTGGTTTCCTTGGTTGGGGACTCCTTGGAGACCTTCCCTCTCGTCCTCCTCATCCTCTCCTACCTGGTTTCTAGCTAACTGAATTCCCTTGTGTATTTCTTGTAAACTATTGTGATTGAGTTAAGTTTCTATGGCAGCATACCCCCTAGTGCGCCGAAATTTATAACTCGAGTTATAATCCATCTTTTGATACGATTCAAATTGGATGATGATCACCACGGTCAAGAGCTACAACATACTCAGGTTTGCAAACATTCTATCAGTGAGCTTCTCGTCGATGACGTTTCTTGTGAAGTCGACAATTCTGTCCAGAATTCTAGTCCAACGATTTTTAGATATTTCGGCCCCTAATCTTCATAGACCTCGTCCTTAATCTCTAACAAGTGGTATCAGAGCGAGGTTGAGGACCTTGTGAAGAGTCTACTGAGTTGTGAAGAACCTTCTAGACCCAACATGGTTTGGGGGCGTGCCTAAATGGAGATTTGAAGGTTGCACGTGACTTCCGCAAAGGGAAACTCTGCCGAAATTTCGTTGGCGTCGACACTTGTGAAAATTGTGTGAAACTTCGTTGTGGACAACAAAGGGGGGGGGAGCTGAAACCGGAGATTGGGTGAAGAGAAGATGAGTCAAGGGAGTGGAGATTTAGCTGAGAAGAGGAATGAGCCGCCACCATCCAAGATCGAGGCATTGGATGGCTCCAACTATGAGGAATGGAGCGGGCGGACGCGGAATGCGTTTAAGCGCTACAAGCTGCTGAAACTTGCGATGGAGGAAGAGAAGATGCAACAAGAAGGCGATGCCACTGATCGGTGTATTGAGAAGAGCGCGATGCTGTACGACCTAATCCTGCAATTGATCAACAACGACATGTTCTAGCACATCAAGAATTTGATGTAGTTGGATTTTTCCGGACCGAAGGCGTGGAAGCTGCTACGCTACGTGATTCAGCCCAGCACGCTGCCGATGGTGATTGTGTTGGAGAAGGAATTGACTGCCCTCTCCATGTGACCGGGAGACAATGTGAAGCCGGTCCTTGTCAAGATCAAGGACACCGAGGATGGCAGCGGCGGGCAGCAAGGTGTCGCAGATGCAGCAGTGCACCAAGATCATCTCGGTGCTTGACAACATATGGGACAACCTCATCCCCACCCTCGACACTCAACAGGACCAGTGGACGCCTGAGTGGCTACGGCAACAGATTATGCAGGAGGACTTTTGCAGGCGCCACACGGGAGGTGGTGCTGCCAACAAGACTGGTTAGGGGTATGGAGCTGCAGGAGGCAGCAGAGGTAGAGGGGGTGGGAGAGGTCGAGGCCGTGGGAGAGGCTTTGGTAGAGGGAGAGGCCGAGGTGACTACAATGAGGGGCATGGGAACTCTAGTGCAAGGGGAGCACTCGAATGGAGGGTGCGTGCTGGTACTACAAGAAGGCTGGACACCCGTGGTTCATGTGTTTTAGCCTGCCTGAAGGACGGGCGCCTCCAGGCACGAAGC